TTTTTTTTTTTTTTTTTTTTTTTTTTTTTTTTTTTTTTTTGTTGCTGTGCCAAGACAATTGCCCAAACTTCCACCTTGGAACCCCTTTTTTAGTGTAAAGAAAACTGAGCACGTCAACCAGAGGATGAAAGGCATGCAGGAGTTTTTAGAAAAGTGAGTTGCCATTTTTATGGTATCTCAAATGCCTTTTTGATGAAATTGTTCTCACTTTGATGGCTTTTCCCCTCTAGTGTTCTGCAGAATCCCTTATTGTTATCTGACAGTCGGCTCCATCTGTTCCTTCAGTCGAACCTCAGCATTGCAAAAATGGAAAGATGTGCTCTTGGCAAGACCAGGTACACGGTAGCGGAGGCCATTCAGTGCTCCAGCTGTGGTTATATCAGTAGTTTGGAGGACAAGACTTCCTGTGACTCAGACTGTGAAAGGTAAGTGATCTGCCCTGAATAATAATTACTAAAGTGTCCTTTTGATGCCAAACTGATTCTTTCRTGTTTTCTCTTGGCAGCTCTGCATCCTCAGGCCTGGGGCTTAGTTTCGACACTGCTAGTATTGACACTACTATGCAAGAGAGTCCTATTTCCTTCTGCCATTCTCCTTAACCAAAAAAAAAAAAAAAAAAAAAGTAGCATCCATCTTTAATTGTGCCCACATTTCCTCTGAACACGATCATGGATCTCCTGTAGCAACCTTTTTTTGTCTGAAAGTCTGAATTCTTACTGCGCTTCCTGAAAGCTAAATGTTGTTTTCATGACTTAAATCTTCCACTTGGACACTAATTTTTATCTGACAGTGTACTTTAAGTATGTACTACTAAAATAACTAAAGTGGTTAAGGGTCGTTATTTTAAGTGTATAAAATGTAAAGTACGTTTTTCTGTGAATTCTTAAATATGTGCATTTTATAGCACTAAAGCTGCATTGTAGTTGTGAACGTGTTTTGAATTGTAGATTTTTAAAAAAATATTTGACAATACTCTTATTAAAGGATAAATAAATTCTTTTTTAAAGAGAAAGCATTTTATTTGAAATTGAAAATTTGTAGCAGTTACATGGATTCTTACATTGACTCATTTGATTGTACAAATCATGCACTCTAATGCTCCAGTAGAGGGAGTGTAGACATCTTGAAGTAGATGTGAGTACAGGCTGTCAAAGAACAGGAACCAATTTGTACTGGAAAGAAGCAAATGTCCATTTATCAGTGTGGTAATGTTTATTGGTCACTACCACAAAGGTGGACAATGTTTTGCCCATAAGTTCTTAAACCTAATCTTCTGGTATGAAAGGTGGCAGACTTCAAATAATGCTATGGTAGGAATTTATTTGAACAATGTAGACTATTCAGTTACGCAAAGTTATGACTTTCATTGAAGGTCATTCTGGGAATTCAGTTTGTCCAAAAAAAAGTATTAATCCGTTGCAATTATCTTGCAGTTTCTCCCCAAATTGCATAAATAATAAAAATATATACTATCAATATTTTTCTCTGTATAACTGGTATAAAATAAAGACTTAGCCACGTTTCAGCTCTGCATCTCAGATCTCCCAGGTGAGTTGACACCTATGGCAAATTAATTTAACATTCAGACAGCTCTTGGGGAATCACCTGAAGAGAACAAGGCGACTTCAAACTGTCACAAGAATGTGGGCTTTGCTTTGCAGAAGTGCTGGACACCCTTGTAAATTGAAAGCTGGTGAAAGAAGCGAATGCTCATTAAAGGAGACAGCAGCTGTTCTCTTCTCTTCCCCCCACTTCCCCTCATCACCACCACCAACCGCTGAACCGACGTATGGCCTGCCCAGCATTAAACCTGGCCTGTCCTGTGTTTTGTGCTCTTCTTTCCCTCCCCTGGATCGCGCTGTCTCCCTGTGCGCACAAGCCATAATGAAGCTGTCAGCGACTTCACAGCAAACACGGACGTACACACAGTGGCACATCTGAAAACACTGACAGTTGTGAAAGCACACACACACACATGCGTCTGAAAGCTGTGCATGAATGAACAATTTCTCTTCTCATCCTCTTGTCATTTTTCGAGTCCCACTGGTTTGTGTTTGGAGCTCTCAATCTGTTTGCCGTTAAGGTTGACCTTATCAGCGTACCCTGTGACAGGCGTACAGTGTGACACACACTGCTTGGTTCAGAGCGGGTCAATTTTCTGACAAAAATGAAATGCAACTGCAAGTGTTGTTTTTGCATTTGGGTGTTTTGTGCTTGTGTGTGTACATGCTCACATCTGCCGTTTGGGAAGGTGCGGCRGCGGGGTAGAAAAYGACAAAAWAAAAAAAAAAACACCCAGCATTTGGATATTGAGTATTCACCGTACATGTCTATTTCAGCTTAGTAATTTATAACTCAATTTCCAGTGTGCATTGATGCGCATCATACCTTCAAAACACCAAACAAAGCCCAAACCCAATTGTATTTGAAAGCAATTAGGGTGTCCACTGAGTTGTGAACGGTCCACGTTGCGATGGCTCTGGGCCCGTGTGATATTTTTAATTGTTAATTTTCTATCACATTAGTCAACTTCAGTGTTTTTGAACAGGTGACCAAGTGCCTATAGGCAGCGTATAAAATGCCACAGAACATATCCTCAGCTTTTTAATGCAGCAAAGTGGATGGATATTTTTACATACAGGGTGGGAGAAGTGGAGATGATGTGTTAAAATGACAAGAAGGTATATCATATTTACAGCTGGTTTATGGTCAGAATCTTTCGAATGCTTTTCAATATATGCGCTGATCGTCAATATTGGTTTAAGTTTATGAGTCTGAATTATTAGCTCATTTAGACTTTCACCTCATGGGGAATGGATTCACCTCCTTGACCGTACAAAAGCCAACAATGGTAAAATCCATATGAGCAATTAGCCCGCGTCGCTCTCACCCTGCCCCTTTACTTATTTCCCTGCCCATTTGCTACTTCTCCCACTCTTTTCCTCCCTCTTCTTCTCATAGCCCTCATTATCTCTATATAGGCTGCTAAGTTAATTACCTGTWCTCTTTTGTACTTGGATGTATTTTACTGCTGATGCTGCAGAGCCTGGCTCACCATGCCTCAGCTGTCTAACTGTTGAAGAAGTAGGCCTGGGTCTCAACCTTGCACCATCCTCTTGGCTTGGTTTCTCCATGGGTGTGTGTGTGTGTGTGTGTGCTGTGCAATTGTCTGTGTTTTTAGGGTCAAAAGGTGATGACTCGCATTGTGTTTCTGGATTATTTTCTCTTAAGTGCTTTTGTGTGGGGCATCATTAAACATCAATGTATCTTCCTCCCCAGCCCTACCGTTGCCAGCCTAAAACGTACACATACCCACATTTTGCATGCTCTCACTGGCCATTTAGCAGCTAAAATATGACCCGTGCGCAGATAAATGTCACCGGGCCATCCATCTGAGAGTGTTAAAAGTCAGCTAATGGAGATGACATATTAGCGGCCCAAATGACTGCCATAAAAGCTTCCCACCGTACCACCGAGCTCTGCCCGGCCGCTGTGACTGCAGCAGGATGCAGARCTGGCTGTCCGAGTGTCTGTTCAGAGAAATGAAAACAATAAATAAAAATTAAAGGATGGAGGGTGATCTCATAGCTGGATGGACTTCTGATTCAAATAAATCCTGCAAGCTGCATCTCTGTGACACCGTGACTGTATAGATGTGACATATTTACGAAGCGCCACCTCCTTATATTGCATTACACGCACTCTATATAAAACTCTTGATGTGATGCTTAATGACCTCTCACCTTTGACCTTCCGTGCAGTAATTATGAGCCAGAGCATCTTTGTTGCTACAGTTTGTGCCAGTACCAAAATTGGCCTTAACATCAATACCCTACTTGAAGACCCTCCACAGGTACGTGATCGTCTCCTCTACAGCCACCCCCTCCCACTCCCCCCCATCCCTATTTCTTTATTAATTACCCCTCTCTACCCATGCGTGTCTTTCTCTCTCTGAGCGAGTGGAGCAGTTGTAATTGCTTCTCTCCGGAGCCGTTAGAAGCGACACAAAGGAGCCGTATAGAAAACCACATTTGCATTCGAGATGAGCTGAGATGGAGGGAGGGATGGAGAGAGGGGAGGGAGGGCTGCCCTCCTGCCCAGCACTGAACAGCTTCACTTACCTTTTTCTCTCCATCCCTCCCTCCTCTCATCCATTGTCTCCCTCCCTCCATCTTATCAACTCCCACCGCCCCCCCCTCCCTCCTCCCTCCCCTCACTCGCAGCATGCCTCCCCTTGCATTGTCTTTCCAGAGAGTTCCAAGGTCGGTGGGAGCTTGCTCATCAGAGCAGGGTATTGTAAGCTTAGCGCTGCTATGGATGAGCTAATTTGTGTGAGGGAGTGTGTGCATGATCCCGAGCTTGTTGTGTGTGTGTTTGTGTCCYGAAGCTCACAGGTATGAGCGTGTGCGTGTAATCATTTGTGTGGCAGTATTTCTAATGGCTGTTAAAGAAGGAGGGGAGGCTGTAATTAATAACTCAAAACCTCAGATTTGCACTTTTTTACAACCACCAATATCTCACAACCTCTCAGCTCCATGCCGTCACACTCTCTCAGTCCTGTGGAGAACACACACACACACACACACACACTTCCACACAATTCCAGAGGGCTCCTCTTTTCCAGCTTGATAAGCATTTCTCGTTTGTTTCAGTGTTTTGATCAATACAGTTAAAACGCCAAAGCTAGCATAATTAGGTCTGAGATGGCTCCCACTGTGACTGAATAGGCTTCACCTGGGGAGGCGCTCACCATTATCATCATGGCTCCGTGGATGTGTATGCACTGCGGGTTCATTCGACACACAGTGTGATCTAATAGAATTGACAAAGTGCACATCAGGACGTAGATTAAAGCAGAACGTRGAGCTATAGGTTAATTTTAGCAGGTGATGGAGTTTCCCATTCACAGCGCTTTCACTCACCTCCGTCTTTACTCCCATAACCATTTGGACAACTTTAGCTATGCATCTTTGTCAGTGTGGTTCACTTCAATATGTTCCAGACCACCTCAATCATCTTTTATTGGTTTATTTACTCAGAACGATACATAGATGGAGGCCTAAGTGATCATAAATTGTCCACAATTACCATTATGCACAGAGAGGTGACTCTCCTTTGTGCTACAATCCAAGGTAAAAACCCTTTGTAAAATCCATCTCAGATTGTAAAGAATGATTTCAGAGACTTGGTGCACATTTATTCAAAGGCAGACATTCCATTTGTTGATTTTTATCCAAACCTCACATGCATCAGTGATGACAAGAAACCAACTACTTAAAGTAATGGCTCATCTCTTTTGAGGTGGGGTTCTGATGTGAACAATTAATATTTTCAYTATTAGAAGTACACGTATTTGTACCAGTCTGTCATGCTACATATGTTTTGGATGAGTAATATAAACTAGACAATGAATAGTAACAGGTCATCAATGTTACAACCTAGAAATGAGCCCACGGTTTGTCTAACTGCRTTTTGTCAATGGCAAGAATAAAAAAAAAAAGAAGCAAAGATACTACCTAAAGCGCTTCACATCAAACACATCATTAAATAGCTGTGAAGCTTAAAAACATGCCTTTTTCTTTGGAATCAGTTGTGTGGAAAAGTTTTCGGTCACCAGAGGAGCAATCAGATAAAACAACAGGTATAGCATCCAAAAATGTCTTAAATTTCATGCTTTGAAACCATGTATGACAGGTCTTTTGCATGTTTATTTGATATTCTTGATAAAAATTGACTTTTTTTTTAGCTTTAAATCATGTTACATCATTCCCTCAAGAAG